CAGATTTTTTTCTGCCTAAAGTATAGCGTCTAGGAATCATGCCTGGCCATCCAGTTCCATAGTTTTACTGTGGTAAATTCCTCTGTGTTGTAAGTCTGGCTCTCAAGGAACATTGGGTCAACACCTGTTGCCAGTTGTCCCCACTGGAGTCACAAGGAGCAAAGGCCTAGAATTGCCTATGGATGTACCCGCTGCCTTGGGGGCTCCTGAGTTGCAGACTCTGGCGGTGGGGGTGGTGGTTTGTATTGTGTCTATGCTACAAAACAGGCGGGGCGGGGAGTCCTGTCTCTGGTCCTGATTGAAAAACCCACCAGAAGAGCAGGTGGCTCCAGTTGCAGGATTTCCCAGCAGCCTTTCAGGGTTTCCTTAGCACCTGCTCTAGAGCTGTGTCGTGGTTTTCGCTTGGCTCCTGAGCCTGAAGTGGGCTGTGTGCACCGGTGTAAATGGGCACGGGGCAAGGACAGCTGCAGCCTTGGGCCATACTTGGCTTCCTTGCTTCTGTGAGTTGCCTCCTCTTTGCTGTTCAAGAATTTGGCTCTCACCCACTATGTCATTAGGCTCCCATATTTTTTTTTAAGTGCAGAGTTATGCTTAGGTCTTTCTGAGTTTCAGATTTATATCTAAAAGTGGGGTAGTAAACAGCCCATAGTGTCCAATGACTTGGCCACCTTCCAGCTGTATCCCTAGTTCTTGGCCACAAATGGCAAAGGAGACTTCATTTTGTCTATTGTTCTGAGGACTGTCACTAGGCCCAGGAGGTCTTGGAATGTGAGGACTTTTCTTTATCCCTTGGCTGCCAAGCATACTTTGGGCTTCCTGGGCAGGGGCTATTCAAATGACCTGGGGCCTAAGACTCAAGGAAAGAGTATCGATTAGGCAAGCGGTAGTCACAGTATGGGCTCGACAGACCTCTGGAAGGGTGTGGCCTATTTAATCATGATCTAGTTTCTTATTTAAATACATAGCTAAAATACTAGTACTCATTTTCAGTTAGAACAAAGGGATCTAGAAGTCTAGTACCTTAAATTTGCAAATGCAGAAACAAGAGTCCAGAAAGCTTTAGTGAGTTGGCCAAGGGTAGCAAGCTAGGAAGTGGCAGAACCCAGGTTTCCTGATATATTTATGCTGAAGCAGAGCAGATTTCAGGAAGAACTATGTTGTCAGGGTCATTGGCTTTAGCTGGGAATAAGGGAAACTATGAACATGGTTTGCTGTTTGCAGAGGTAGCCCCAGTGTGCTGAGTGTCATCTGTGGCCTCATGGCTCACACTGGGCTCTAAACATTTTAATATTGATGATTAAAGTATGCAAGTGGGATCTTTGTTTTCCGTGACTAACGTCTTTTTGAAAGTCAGCTGCGCTGCGAAGAGYTCCTTCCTGGCCTGGGTGGCAGTGCGATCCCTTTCTTCCGCCCTCACTCCATTCGGAGCTTGTTCCACGTGGGACTCATTTTGTGACTGGCCTAAAGGGTCCTGTGAGCTGGGTGCAGGCGTGGAGCAGGCACAGTGCTTTTGAGAGTAGAGTTGAGCACTCTTCCCCGTGGTCAGGAACTGCTTCCTACCTTGCTGGCCTGGCGCCTTGCCAGCACACTCAGGTGGAGGGAGGCACCTGAGGCCGGAGGTGTGGGCTTCAGAGTGCTGGGGGCTCCCCTGACCCTGGTTCTGGTTGTCTGAGTGGGCCAAGGCGCCTTTAAGCTTGGAGTCTCAGTTTCTTCTCCTTCACGTCGTGGTTAGTTAGGATCTTACTGGGCTGCTTTGGATAAGAGGAGCTGCCAAAGGTAAAGTACTTACGGTAGTCCTGAGGCATTGCAGACATCAGCCATTATTGTGGCTCTTGCTTTTGGCAGTTGATGGATGCCTCACTTTCCTTTTGAACATAGCCCTGTTGAAGCAGTTCATGACAATGTGTGTTTGGACTCTGAATTTTTAGAAGAGGAAGACAGGTGGAAAAACCTTCAGGCACGTCAGGCTAGAAGTGGAGGTTGCATGCCTGAGGGCTGCAGGGAGGGGATCTAAAGGAAGATGGTGCACCAACCAGTGGAGCCTGATGGACAGTATCTGCTTGGGGTCCTTGTAGGCAAGAACACAGCTCTGTGGGGAGGCCAGGCCTGCGGGCAGGTGGGCCAGGGGCCTGTGACAGCGAGGGTTGGTGCCTCAGATTTGCAGGATGCTGTGCTGTGGTGGGTGGATGGAGCCAGCCAGCAGAAGTGCTAGTACCTGCCTGTCAGTGCCCTGTGCTGTAGTGCCTGTAAGAGATGTGGCAAAATGGTACATGTAAGTGCATTCTTTCTTTCAGTGYTAATGGATTTCCGATAAGTAGGAAATGTGTCAAACACTGGAAGAAAAAATTCCCTAACAACATGAAAGCTATTTCTGATTTTGTATAATACCTTTTAGTTCGTGTTCACATGTGGTAGTTGCATAATTGCCAGCCATTTTATATCTGCTTTTAAAATTGAGCACTCTTACAACATTTTTGGTAATTATAATCATAATAGTTAAAGTCACATAATATTTCATAGTTTATATTTCTGGCTTATTTTTGGTGGCAGATTTGAAGAAATCAAATTATTGTTTCAATTTCAACATTTGTATAGTTCTTATGTATATATTGTAGTAAACCTCCTAAAAGAATTATCCATATTACAACATGTACCAATTTTACAATTGTCTTCCCAGTTAAGTTGGTTAATAAAATAAACATCCATCGGTATCAGAGTTGCCATGTTTTAATTCTTTGTGTGCTGGGAGGAGCCCAGGCTGAGGGCATGCTGGGCAGCCTCTGCCCCTGGGCTGTCTGGCCCCTGGGTTCTGTCTTGCAGTTTTCCTGTCAATCGCTACAGTGAGGAGCGGGCTTTCCTCCTGCGTCTGCCCTGTGTGGATCCCTGGCTTCTGTCTGTGGGTGTGACTTACGCTCATGCTGCTTATGTGCACGTGCATCCGTGCCATACCACTACACCCATCCCTGACACCTGYACACGTGTGTGACTGCCACCTGGCCGTCCCTAGTCCCAGCTGCCCTGCCATGGGAGCCACTGGCCTTCCCTTGAACATCGTGGAAGGGCTTGCATGTCTGCTGTTTCTGCTGCTTCTGTCACCATTTCCTCTCCGTCACCCAGGTGCCCTGTTCTATGAAAGTGCTGGTCCTCTTGTTGGTGGACATCTGGGTGTCGCACATTGTTGCTATCAAGAGTCAGTCTGCTGCGGACATTCTTGCCCTTTATTGGCATTTGTTGGGCATGTGCCCAGTGTCAGTGAATTGCTGGGTCCTAGGACGTGTATGTGCTTGGCCTCAGTAAGCACTGCCACATGTTCGTAGTAATAGCACTTGACTGCTTGGTAATGGATGGCTTTCAACACCTAGCAGTCCACAGAGAAGAAGGGTACTCACAGAGGAAGCTGCAGGGGCTGCTGCCCCAGTTCTTGGATGTGCAGTTGTAATGTAGACAGTTTCTGCCAGGAATGTTTCCAACCTGCGAAGCCTTGCTGGGTCTGAGGGCAGGAGGCACGGTCTGCTGGTGACTTTAAAGATAACAGTGGTGATGGCTCATCTCTGGCAGAGAGAAGGGGAAGGCACCTGTGTGTACCGGGCTCCTACTGGGCACCGCTGCGTTCTCAGTAATCCTGAGCAGCTACTGCGGCCTTGCCATCGTGACGTGGAGAATGGCATCCTGTGGCTCTACTCTGAGTGCCCAGTGCTGGCTTGTCCACTGTGCACATGGGGAATGGCACCATGTGGCTCTGAAGGCTGCTGCTGAATTTGAGCTCTGTCTACACTGTGAAGAGTGCTCTTGCAGGAAGCCGGAATGTTGGTGTGCTGCGTAGAGGAAGCAATCCACAGTGACACTGAGTCTGAATAGCATGGACATGCTCCTGGGCATCATGGAAACTCTGTTTTGATTGCTAAAGTAATGCATATTAATCACGCAAAAATAATAAAGATATTGATAAAGCACAAACAGGTGAAGGAAGACACCTGTGATCCTGCCATCATGAGACAACCAGTTCCTCTGGTTGTAAACAAAAAATGGTTGTAGTTCTGTTCCTTTCTGTGTTCCCGTCTCCTTAAATGTGTCATGGACTTTTTTCCTTAGCCCTGAAGTGCTCTGGAACGTACTGAAGGGCTCCCTGTAGTGTGGTGCAGTCCTACACGACATGTTATTGGACAGTCCCTGCTGTTGGACACTTGGGTGACTCTGGCCTGTCCATGGCAATAATCAGTGCCATGGTGCACATTCTTGGATATAAATCTTTGTGAAGATCCATGATTATTTTCTTAGTATAAGTTTATATTAAAAAAATTATTTTCTTGTTGACTTAATATTGATAAGAGATTGAATATAAAAATCATTTCAGTTCCTCTAAAATTTATTCAGAAAAGTATGAGCATATTTAACATTTTTGTTTAGTGACTTAAATTTAGCACTTTGTAATTAATATTTACATTGTCATAAATGCTGACAGCCATTGGTCTCGATTTTAGAAAGAAGCTAAAACTGTGCTAAAATACGATCTTTCCCACTCAAATCACTTCTGAGGTGGATCAAGTKCTGCTCACCAGAGCGGCCAAGCATGGTCCACCCCACTCCACTGTGCAGCAGGCCCCAGGGTCACTCTCAGATCTCAAGGGGCAGCAGCCCCCACCAGCTCCTTCTCTTCCCTGCAGGCACACAACAGTCTGAGAGGATTTTGCTGCCTTGAACAGCAGGGACAGCCGCCAGCCGCAGCCTAATCTCAGAGCCCTGGGGTTGTGTGAAGGCTGGAGAGGACCAGAGGGTAGTTCTGTAGCTTGGAATTGTGAAAATACTCTATGGGGACTTATTACCTTGTCATTAAAGAGGAGTGCAGAAAGAATTAAATTACAGACATGTGTTGTTAGTATAATGTGAATTAAAGGTGTGTTGGTGAGGTGATCTGATGACTTTTTGGTAATCATGATGTTTAATTAAAATGCTGAGGAAAGTGTTTGAGATCCTGATGTGTCCTTTTCTTGTATTTGTAGATCCACATCATAGATTTTGACGATGAGAATAACATTATAAATAAAAATGTCCTCCTGCATCAAGCGGGTGAAATCTGGCACATTAGTGCCAGCCCTGCAGATAAAGGTGTGCTGGCAACCTGCTACAGTAAAAGTGAGTATGGCTTTCGCTAGACACTTGTGCATACCAGCTGGATGTATCCCCTAACATTGATTTTATATTGCTAATGGATTGGTGTGTGGTTTACAAGCTTTGACCACCAATAACCAGAGCAGCTGTGCTAGTGCAGGTAGGTGTTTGTAGAACTTATAAGTCTGAGATCCTCAGGGTCCAAACTGGGGTCACAGCTGTTCAGGAGCATTGTACCCCCACATCAGGAGTGCACCATGCCGAAGGCTCCTGAGGGGGACACAGGTGTCCTGACACAGCCATACCACTCCAGAGGACAGCAGGAATTTGCCCCCTTCCCCCGCTCTACGTGCATGGTGATGAGCAGAGCCCAGGACTGCCTTCCAGGCCTTTTTGATAGCAGCTGTGCCAGCCAGCACAGGTGAGTCCTGTGTCCTTGCACCCAAGCAGACTGCCTCCATCAGCCTCCGGCTCTCCAGGCTCCAGGACTCACATGTTCATCTTTGTCAAATGTCTGAGACTGAATGGGCCCTACGTTTTCCTTAATTCTTGTTCTGTTGCAGTCAGTGACTACTTTCTAAATTCTGGCCTCCCATTAGCCCTTTTACTGTTTGTAAGGTCTTTTCACCTTGTAGACTCTGATCAAGCTGAGACCCGTCTGTCCTGGCTCAATCTGTGCATGCAGGGAGTGTTGGGCAGATGCAGATTGTCACAGCTGATTCTCCAGGGCTCACTACTGCCCTGGAGCCTTCTGAGCCACTGCCTATTCTTAGGTGGGGAGAGTCGTTCCTGAGCCTGGCTGTGGGAGGTTGTGTGCACAACCAACTCTTAGGACTTTTCCTTTGTGGATAAAAGTCGAACAGCTTTATGTTTTCTTCTCGGTAATTTCCTAAGAAAGATGCACTGCTGTGAAGCAAAGGGAGGGATGTTTCCAGAGTGGACAGTGTCCCGACAGTGCTGTGCAGACTGACTGGTGGACACAGGGGTGAGGGTGCCAAGTGATGGGGGGGCCCTGCACATGCCAGTGAAAGGGGAGCCTCGGGTCTTCATTTCATCTGTGTCTGAAAGAGCGTATTGCTACGAGGCCTTGAGGCGGGAGAGCTTCACCCGCGGCCTCTGCCTTTGCAGCTGCTGGGACTTGAACTTGCCCCCTCCTCAGTTTATCTCTCGTTCAAATGTGCTTTCAGTGGATCTTAACCTTCCTTATGGGTCTTGCTCCCCAGGTCCAGATTCTTTTCTCACACAACGCTTTCTTACAGTTCATGGAAAGAGGCATATGCTTCAGATGAACTTTTTAAAAAGCATTTACTTTGCTGCTGCAATTTTTTWAAAAAATATTTTTCCAAATTAGAGTGAGTGAATATGTGTGTTTGTGTGTGTGTGGTGTGCTTATACTATCATGGGTGTTACAGTTTAGATGTGAGGTGTCCCCCAAAAGTTCACATGTGAGACAATGCAGGATTTGGAGGAGAAATGTTTGGGTCATAGCCTTAACTGGGCCAGTGAATTAAACCCTGATGGGATTAGCTGGGTGGTGACTGGAGGCCTGTGGGATGTGGCTAGAGGAAGTGACTCACTGGAGAGTGGTTATGGGGTATATAGTTTGTGTCTGGCAAGTGGAGATTGGTCTCTGCTTACTGATCTCCATGCCATCCTTTTATGGACTAAGACCTCTGAAATCTGAGCTCTCAAATGACCTTTTGCCTCCTCTATAATTGTGCTGGTCAGATCCTTTTAGTCACAGCAGTGAAAAACCTGACTAAAACAATGGGTGAGAAGTGCCTGCCTCTGCTCACTCTGTCCTGTTGGTGTGCATGTGCCTGCCTGCCTGCCTGCCTGCCTGCCTGCCTGTGGGCTGTGATCTCTTTGCTTGTACTGTCCTTGCTGACACCCACGTGGGGGTGGCCTCATGGTCAGCAGAGGGCACCAGCAGCCTGGCTCTGTATCCTCCTCTCCTCCGACCCTCCACAGGGTCCCTTCCTGTGTGTCAGTGTCCCCGTCCTGCCTGGTGCTCAGTCACCACAGGCCATTCCTACAGCTTTCCCCCCTCCTTCTCGTGGTGTTTCTGTGTTCTCACAGATGTTGAGGCGGATGCTTACAGGACAGCATTTTGCAGAGTTGGACTGACTCTTTGTGTTTGGCTGTGGCGATGCATCTTAGGGTGTCCACTGGAGACTTCTGTGGGCTTTCATAGAGAAATTACTGCCCAAGCCAGAACACAGTAATTCACCGAGGGGACACTGGAGCCAGGGGAACTGAAGCACCTGAGAGGTTAGAGCCTGATCAGTAATGTGGGGATCTAACTGGCACCCAGGATGATTGGAGCCTGGTGGGTAGTCCTGGAGACTAGTACCCAGGACGGTTATAGCCTGGTGGGCCATTCTGGAGGCAGCAGCACCTGGGACTGGGGACAGCAGCACCCAGGATGGGTAGAGCCAGGTGGGCCATCCTGGGGATTGACAGGCACCCGATTTGATCATCAGTGGTGCCATGTGTGATCTTCAGGCATTAACCTCAGTGCCCCCAGGTGGAAGTGGTCCTTATAGAGGCCATGTTTAGACTTAGAGGTCTGAGTCCAAGGAATCGAAGCCAACACATGAACCCTGCATGGCTTCTTTCATCAGCTTGAGCCTCTGGCTCCCACACATCTGACTTCTCGCTGCTTTCCCTCCTGTTCAAATGTTGCAAGCTCTTCTTTACCCTTAGAAATATAGGAGGTATTTCTATGTAGCTCAGTGGCAGAGTGCTTGCCTATCATGCCTGGGGCCCTGGGTTCATTTCCCACTGCAGGAGGACAAAAAAGGAAAAAGAGATACAGGCGCTTTATGTGCAGAATGTAAAAAGGAGTTGAATATATGGAGATGGAGAATAGACAGCGGTGACAACGGGGGTGGCGAGTCGAGGTCAGAGGATAATCAGTGGCAAATGTCTAGAGATCTGCTGTTGGATGGGAGGATTTGGAAATACTGTAACATTCAGGATTTTTGCTCAATGAGTAGATAACATTTGTGCCTGCAACACATTAAATAATGGGAATTACATGAAATGATGTTAATTTGTTTCACTGTAGCAACCATTGACATCCCCGAGTACATATATATGTATGTCTTAAGTAAGGATGATAAAACTCATAAGAATAAAAAAAGATGGTGCAGCCATCGTCTCCTCCTGAATGCCTGCCCCTCTCTGCTAGCCACAGATGGGGACTCGCCTTGTTGCTGTCTTATTGCTACTGTGTGGTACTTTCTGCCAGTGTGTGTATCTTCATGTGTAATGTCCAAGGTCCTCTGTCTCTTCCTATCCACGGATACCTCCAGGGGGCTGGACTAGTGTCATCTCTCCTTGTGCCTCAGGGCCTTGGTCATGGAGGTCCTATGGTTTAGGCCTCTCCTTTGGAAGTCTCCTTCAGCCAGGGCAGTGCCCTCTGTCTCCGCAATGCAGCCCACCTTGGATGATACTTCACATGCAACAAAAGAGCTACTCGGAAATAGTTACAGATCAAATTGCTACTTTAAACGATGTTGCAATAATTATCTTGTGAGATTTAAGAAAATACAGAGAGTCATTCTTGGGAACAAGGATGTTGAGGCACACTGTGTGAACCAGTAGGAAGAAAGGAGAGAAAATGAGGCTGCACAGCTGGATTCATCTCTGTCTGAGCCCCAAGGGAAGAGGACATCCTGAAATGAGGTGACACGGGTGTCCTGAAACACTCCAAACTTTTCTTTATCTGGCTTTCCCCGTTACATGCCAGATGCATTTAATGATTTCCACGTCTCATGGAGGTATCTTACAAATTTTGCCAAAATGAGCTGAAAAACTTAACAAGAGAAACCAAACATACAACAGTTTGGTTATTTCCCCAAACTTCTGTCATTTCCTCAACTAGTCACTGGGGCCTGAGGAAGGGAGTCCAGGAAGTGGCTGGGGGAGTGGGGGGCGGTTGGAAAACCTGGATTCTGCTGTTCCCTCTGCTCTTTACGACTCTGTACTTGGGCCAGATGAGTAACTTGGTTTCCATCTGCAGAGTTGGTACAAACATCCTTACTAATAAGGAAGTAATAAGGACCATGCAGGCTATTTTGAACAGACTTTGTCCTTGTGTTAGTGCACTGTGGAGGGACAGGCGCTGGACATCAGTCCTGATGAGGTGTAGGGTGTCTCAAGGATACTGCATACTCGTTGAACGCATCTGTATTCAGGAGAGGTTAGAAGTGAGCAGCCAGGCCCCTGAGCCAGGGAGCACCGTAGGAGCCGCAGTGTGTGGGCTCAGAGCTCAGAAGAAGCATTGCCAGCACCAGGTCACCTGTGTTCACCTCTGTCTATGCTGGCTCCTGCGAAAGTGGGAGGAGCTCCTAAGCTGGGGCACAGAGCCCCCAGGGCACTGATAGTGCCACCAGCCAGTGAGGAGGTGGGCTGCAACCACAGCTCAACKTGGAATATCTTGCTGTGGTGTCATTTTTGTTTGATTTTAAGTAATGAAAGCATTACTCAAAGCCTAAAATGCATGTAGATATGTTACGAGGAAGAGCCCAGAATCCACAGGAATCTTGTGAGTAAAACACAAATCTCACCGAGGATCCCTTCACATCCTGCGCTCAGATCCTGCTGTGTGGACTCTCACAGCTCATGGGGAGGAGGCACTTTCTCTTTCCTTCCTCCGGTTGGCTGCAGCAGAATGGGACAGCAGGTTGTTCTCCGGGAGCTGTAAGCGCTAGCAGCAAGGTTTGTGATGAAAAGGCCTTTACCTTCCTTGTTTCCTTGCAAATGCAGAGGACCAGTGCTGACTGTGTACTCCACCCTCCCTCTTGGTCAGCCTCTCCAAATCGGGGACAGTGGGTGAACCAGGGTGATGGCCCKGCTGTTCTCGGCAGCCTGACCCTTGCAGTAGCCTGGCATAGCAGCCTCTGTCAGTTTTCTCTGCTGGTACGGTTGGTTCATGTTTCCTTGGGACGCAGAGAAGGGCTGTTGGGATGTGTTGAGGGAGTACTGCTTATGGTGGAAGAGGAGACCCCTGATGGGCC